GTTAACACCTAATTAACACTTATTGTTAACAGGGGTGGAGTGATCAAGTTGCTCTCTATCAAGAATGAGAACATCCTCATCTCTGAAAGAGTGACCGCTGGCCTGTAAATGAGTGAAAACTGCAGAGTTCTGGCCATTAGATGTAGCTCGTCTGTGTTGGGACATTCTTTTGAATGACTGATCAATGATCAATGTAGACAAAGACTGTCCCTCAGCTCTGTTGTTGTTGTTGTTGTTGTTGTTGTTGTTGTTGTTGTTGTTGTTGTTGTTGTTGTTGTTAGACCGAAGTGCTGCATGTGACACTGTGGATCACTGTGTGTTACTGGATAGACTGGAACACTTTACTGGAGTCACTGGAAATGTAGAGATCTCTGACTGTTACTTTTAATAATGAGCTGTCTGCGACTGGTGCTGTGAAGCACGGGGTCCCTCAGGGGTCTGTGCTCGGCTCCCTGCTCTTTTGCCTCTTGGTTTTCTCCTGCATTCATTTAAAGTAACTTTTCACTGTTATGCTGATGATCTACAGGTGTATACGTATGTCCTTCTCTGTTGGAAACTGTCTCAACTTGACCAGCTGGAGGCCTGTTTATCAGTAATTACAGGTTGGCTGTCGAACAGTTTCCTGCTTCTCAATGTCGACACGACTGATTTAATGGTTGTTGGACCTCAGAAGTTCCATGGCTCATCACACACTTCATGCATCGATTATCGTAACTCTCTACTTCCCGGGTTACTTAGGAAAAGTTTTAGAGGTCTGCAGATGGTCCTAATACATCTGGTCACATTTGAACTAACACTAGGAAATATGAGCACATTAGCCCTGTGGTGTCATGTCTTCACTGGTTTGTCAGGTTCCAGCTGGTTTTAAGCTCCTGCTGCTCACCTTCAGGCTCTCTGACCTCCTGCACCTCCATGTTCCACCTCCTTCTCTCAGATCTGAAGGGACTGGACTTTTATTAATTCCAAAGTTCAGAAGAAAAGCTGTGAACGTGCCTTCAGCTTTCATGGCCCTGCTCTGTGGAACCCTGTCCCTGAGGACCTCAGGCCTGTTCCCACTTTTAAATAAATCACTTGTTCACTTTATCTCATGTGTTTTAATGTTTTATTTTATTTATTGCATTTGATCGGTTGTTGTTTTTATCTCCTGCAACTGTTCAGCACTTTGTCTGAAAGTGCTTTATAAATAAAGTTATTATTATTATTATTATTATTATTAGGGGTCCAAGCCCGAGGAAGCAGGGTAACGCAGCTGCAAAGCAGCAGCGTTTCCATGTCTCCATCGGAGCATGGAACCCTATTGTATCTGTTCCGTTTTTTATTATTATTATTATTATTATTAGGGGTCCAAGCCCGAGGAAGCAGGGTAACGCAGCTGCAAAGCAGCAGCGTTTCCATGTCTCCATCGGAGCATGGAACCCTATTGTATCTGTTCCGTTTTTTATTATTATTATTATTATTATTA